AGCATTTTAATAGTGAAATCAATTCCAATAAAACTAGATCTACTTGGGTTTACTTTTCTTCGCATTTAGGCACATTTGACTGAACACTGCATGCTGTTAAGTGTTGTGCAACCCCAGGAAAGACACAGGAGTTAGCAACAGCAAGCTGGAAGCACGCTACTTAGATGGGACTAGTTAAAACATACTGTCCTCTTCCAACTTTCTGTAGCCGAAGATGGGTACCTTTGTTCATATTCACTACTACAGTGCACCACCACCATTAGAACAAAAGCTAGTAATGGGGTATTGTAAGACTGAAGATAATGTTTCCACTGTATTTCATGGAAGCAAGAATTATGAACAACGTATGTTTCCTTAAAGTCCATGATGCAGGTTTTCTTGAGCTGAAATAAGACAAGCTTCTGCTGGTTCAGATACATTTAAATATTTCATACTTTCAGATGGAACAATTACAGCTTAGATTAAATTTATAAATAAATAAAATAAAACCTCAGAAGGAACTCCTGATCTGATAATCATAGTCTGACCTAACAGCTTTGTGGTTTGACCTAATGAAAGATGTGGCATTTTAGCTGATGTTTCCTGTTTCAAACATGTCGCCTTTTTGTTTCTTCTCTGATGGACCTGTCTTGCCTAGTTTTTTGATCTATCTGCAATAGAGTCTGAGAAGGAGATTGACCAATGGAGCTGTACTCTGCCGTCTCTGGTACACACAAGCCAATTCAGCATGGCCACTACTGAGGCAGGTCCAGGATCTATTTCTGTGTCAGGAGGAAGGCAGCGTTACAAGGGATAGGGAGGAGTGGAAGCAGGTTACTGCATGGAACTGTAAGAGGAACCCCTCCTTACCTTCTCAGCTACCTTTACAGAATAGGTATGAGGCTCTGGGTATGGTAGACAAAGCGCGTGATGAGATAGAAGAGGAGGAACCTATGCAAGTACTCTCACCAAAGTCAGATCAACTGACCCCTTGCAACAAGAGCCGCATTAAGACCAGTGCTGAGAAGAAACAACAGTGAATTACTGTCACAGGTGACTCCCTCCTGAGGCACCCACTCACAGACCACACCCTCTTTTCAGGGAAGTTTGCTGCCTCCCTACAGCCCAAATCAGGGATGTCACCAGATGACTGACAAGCTTAGTACAGCCTTCAGACCATTACCCACACCGGCTCTTTCATGTGGGTACTAATAATGTTGTAACAAGAACATTATTAGTTGGTTGTGTTTTCCTTAATCCTCCCAGCAATGGAGAGAGACATTGGAAGAAACAGGTGTGCCCAAGACATCAATACTTGACTCCAGGACTGATGCCTCCACCAGAACTTCATTTTTTATAACCATGGGAGAGTCTTTAAAACACAAGGTATGCTGGGGCCTGATGGGATCCACCTGTCCTGATGCAGGGAAACACATCTTTGCTTGTAAACTGGTGGGACTTTAAACCCATTGAGAGGGCTTTAAACTAGAATCAAAGAGGGGAAGGGGATACCAACAGGAGAGCTGAAGGTAAGCCAAGGGTTAGCATGGCATCACCTGAAGGTGGCAATGCTAATGGGAGCATCTACACTGCTGCAGGGAGCACTGAGGGCTTAGGAGCGCATCTGAAATACTTGTACACCAACGCATGCAGTATGAGAAACAAGCAGGATGAACTGGAAGCCTTGGTCAGTTCCCAGAGCTACGTTATCATTGGTATTAGTGAGACTTGGTGGAATGAGTTCCACAACTGGAGTGCTGGGATGGAGGGCTACAGGCTGTTCAGGAGGGCTAGGCAGGGCAGGCGTGTTGGAGGAGTCACACTATATGTAAGGGAGAGGTTTGACTGTACAGCCCTTACAGTTAGGGATGACGTGGTTGAGAGCCTCTGCGTGAGGATTAGGAGGATGGAAAACAAAGCAGATGTCATACTGGGTGTCTACTATCTATTGCCCAGCCAGGATAGCACTGATAGCACTAATTCTCTAGGCAATTAGGAGAAATCTCTGGATCAGTAGCCCTTGTCCTTATGGGAGATTTCAACTTCCCAGACATCAACTGGGAAGTCTATATTGCTGTGATGAGCAAGTCTGGGAAATTCCTGAAGTTTGTGGAAGATAACTTGTTGTCACAAGTACTCAGTAAGCCAACTAGGAAAGATGCCCTCCTAGACTTGTTTGTCAATAGAGAAGGGCTCACAGAAGATGTGATTGTAAGTGTCCGTCTTGGCCACAGTGATCATGAAATGGCTGAGTTGAAAATTTTTGAGGTAATGAGAAAAGAGGTCTGCAGAGTTGCTAGGCTGGATTTCAAGAGAGCAAACTTTAAGCTATTCGGGGAACTACTTAGTAGTGTCCCCAGGGAATCTGCTTTTGAGGGCTTAGGAGTCAGCAAGTGCTGGTCAGTTTTTAAGCACCTTTTAGAAGCACAGGAGCAGGCAATTCCACTGTGTCAAAAGTCAAGCAAGCAGGGCAGAAGACCAGCTTAGCTGAACACAGAACTCCTCGTGGAGCTCCAGAGGAAAAAGGAATTGTACAATCTCTGGAAGTGAGGACAGGCTTTGCAGGAATAGTAGAGACGTGGTTCGCATATGCAGGGAGAAGATGTGAAACACCATCTCAGAGTTGAAACTGGTTAGTGTTGTGTCAGACAACAAGAAAGGCTTTTTTAAGTACGTTAATAGCAAGAGAAGGTCTAAAGAAAGCATTGGAGTGATCCTTGTTGAAGATGGTCACCTGACTAATAGGGATGAAGAAAAAGCAGAGGCGCTCAATGCTTTTTTTGCCTCAGTCAATTATATTGATAGATATTGGGCTGCCCAGTTCCCTGAGTCAGAGGACCACGAGTACAGAAGCAGTGATTTTCCATTTATGGACACTGAAATTGTAAGGGACCAGCTATATCAGCTGAATGTTCACAAGCCCATGGGGCCTGATGGGATTCACCCCAGAGTACTGAAGGAGCTAGCGGATGTTATGGCAGGACCCCTCTCGATCATGTACCAAAGGTCTTGGGGATCTGGGGAGGTGCCCCCTGACTGGAAGCTAGCCAGTATTATTCCAGTTTACAAAAAGGGTGTGAGGGAAGACCCAGGAAACTACAGACCTGTTAGTCTAACCTCAGTTCCTGGAAAAATTATGGAGAAGATCATAGTGGGTACTATTGAAAGACTTTTAAAGAACAATGCAATCACTAGGCATAGTCAATGTGGGTTCACAAAGGGAAAGTCCTGTTTAACTAAGTTGGTAACCTTCTGTGATAAGGTCACCCACCTAGTGGATCAAGGGAAGGCGGTGGATGTAGTTTTTCTGGATTTTAATAAGGCTTTTGATACTGTCCCTCACAGCATCCAACAGGTCCATGTCCTTCTTATGTTGGGGGCCCCAGAGCTGAACGCAGTACTCCAGGTGGGGTCTCACAAGAGCAGAGTAGAGGGGAAGAATCCCCTCCCTCGGCCTGCTGGCCACTCTTCTTGTGATGCAGCCCAGGATACGGTTGGCTTTCTGGGCTGTGAGCACACATTGCTGGCTCATATTCAGTTTTTCATCCACCAATACCCCCAAGTCTTTCCCCACAGGGCTGCCATCAATCCACTCATCGCCCAGCCTGCATTAGTGCTTGGGATTGCCCCAACCCATGTGCAGGACCTTGCACTTGGCCTTGTTGAATTTCATGAGGTTTGCATGGGCCCATCTCTCAAGCCTGTCGAGGTCCCTCTGGATGGCATCCCTTCCCTCTAGTGTGTCGACCGCACCACACAACTTGGTGTCGTTGGCAGACTTGCTGAGGGTGCGCTCAGTCCCACTGTCCATGTCACTGACAAAGATGTTAAACAGCACCAGTCACAATACTGACCCTTGAGGAACACCACTCGTCACTGCCCTCCACTTGGACATTGAGCTGTTGACCACAAGTCTTTGAGTGCGACCCTCCAGCCAATTCCTTATCCACTGAGTGGTCCATCCATCCAATCCATGTCTCTCCAATTTAGAGATAAGGATGTCATGTGGGACAAGTGTGGAAACATTTCTTTACCAAGGGGGTGGTCACACACTGGAAGAAGATTCTTGGAGAGGTGGTTGATGCCCCATGCCTGTCGGTGTTTAAGAGGCATTTTGATAATGCCCTTAACAACATGCTTTAACTTTTGGTCAGCCCTGAAGTGGTCAGGCAGTCGGACTAGATGATCGTTGTAGGTCCCTTCTAACTGAACTATTCTACTCTATTCTATTCTAAGCCCTATATACCTTGTCATTATGTCAAATGGAAGTGACTATTCTAGGAGCTTTTCTTGCTTCACTTGACTCATTCAGAAAGGAAGTTATTTTGGTTTGAGATGTTTATCTAGTGTCAAACTAGTGTGAGTCACGCTACTCATTCCAAAATTGTGCGCTTCCCACCAGTAAGCAGTGTACCAATGTACTCTTGCAGCAAAGAGTTTGATCTGTAAGTGCTTAGGATTCTTTAACTACATGCTTTCCATCTTCCTAGTTCAAGCTATTTGCTTTTTTTTTTTTTAATGGAAGAGTTTTCATATATGTATATTTATATATGTGTATGTGTATGTCTGTGTGTTTATAAACATTTCTAATTGTGCTGTAAAGTACTGAGTCAAATTTCATAGCAACTTCTGTAAGCAGTAGCTTGCCTTCTTCAGATCTCATTGTAATTGTCAAGCCAAGGGTTATGGCATAATGGTTTTTTGGAAGAGATGAAAATGGAGATCACAATCTAGTTTTGCACATGAAGAAATTTAAGTGCACCCCATCAAGTGCTATTCACAGAGTCCGCAGTTTGTATCCTGGGTACACGCGTTGTCCGTGTCCCAGAGCACTGGCAGCATGCAAGGGAACTGCAGCGCACTAGGGCACGTTCTGGGACTCAGGACTTGAGCAGTGAGTTGGGGGCTGGGACGGAGGAAGTGAAGATAGCTGAAGTTAAAACAGGAACTCGGAACACACAGCAGTCCAAAAGCTGCCGCTAGCAACAGGTGCCCGAGCAAAAAGCAGCCAGTTTGCCAGCAGGAGCTGGTGAGCCCTTTAAGGTAAGAAAACTGAGTGGGTTTTGGGAGTGGAAAGTGAGAAACAACAACAACAAAATGTCGGGTTTTGGTGGGCAGACAACTCCTTCCTGACCCAGTTTGTGTGAGTTGATAGCGCTGGGCATTTGCTTCCCGGTCTGTTCTTTGGTCATTGTTGTTGCTTTTGTATTTGAGGCTCTGAAGAACAATGTTTCCAAATCAACTAGCATGACTGTGCTAAGTGTAGTAGGCCCATATTTGTGCTGTAGTGAATGTTTTCAAGGGGGAAAAAATGGGACAAACTAAAGGGTTGAGATCCTACTCTGGCTGATACTCGTCTTTATAGAGGGTGTCTGGAGCCTTGTGGTGTGATTACAGTCTGTGCTTTGTCATGGTTCCCAAGTTGCACGGTGGGTGGCTTTGGAGAGTAGGTGGTCAAGAACCATTTACAGCAGTATTTAAAACCCTGAACAACCTACATTTGAGCTAGCTGCTCAAATCAGCTGCCCTGTTGAACAGCCCTGTGATAGCTGGTTATTGCTGCTGTCTTATCATTAACAAAAATGAGGCACAAACTTTAAAAATCTTTGGAGTGAGAGATGCTAATAAATTAGGGAGGGGAAAAGGAGATGAAAGGTATTGTTAGATTGTGCTATATTGTTCCACATGTACCTTCCTGCTTCCCCTGCTTCTATTTGCAGTTAGCTATATTGAGTTTGTCATAAGATTACCGTCAGTGCATACAAGCACAGCAGAGTATGTCACAGAGCTGCTGTGTTCCAGAGTAAGACAACTATTTTTTTTTCCTTCCCCCTGAGACATCCTGGGGAAGGCCTAAAGCCAGATCTTCACAGTAAATCTGCCTTGGTCCTAAATCCTCTCCCTTAGCTAACTATCTGGCTTTTGTTTAACAAAAGAAAGACTCATCCCTTCTGTGCTTTTAGTTTCTGTTGTCTTTGCTCCCTGGTTTTAGAGTGCTGATTCTCTAGACAAGTGGTAAGGGCAGCGTGAGGCTGAACTGAACACTGCACTGTGCTGAAATGGAAGGTTATTATTCACTTAACAGCTTTTTGTGTTGTACAATTAATTACTTGTTCAGCATAAACATTTTGCTTGCACAGAAAGCAACTCTCCTGGGCTTTTGGGGCGAGTTTGTAGGCTACTGTATGATCGTGGGACTGTGGAATTAGTGCTGTTGAGAAGCACATAATAAAAGTGTGCTGTTAAATGAGGATCCACCACAAAGCGTTCTCTTCCCTCCTCTTGGTTTGTTCACAGGTTTATGTGATGTTTGCAGTGGTGTGAAACATGGCCCAGCAGCCCAGTCTTTGCTGCACATTCTGTTCAGTCTTTCTGCCCCAGTAAAAAGCTGCTTTGGGCGACAGTAAGAACAATTTGGGGCTCCTCAACACCACAGGCAGTAATAGGTGGTGGGACGTTGAGAGCTCTGCTGAGAATGATTGCTCTGTTGTATGGGGGCAGGCAAGCCATGTAATCTTTCTTCTGCCTCTCATTTTGTAGAAACTGTGTTGTTTGGGAGGCGCTTTTTTGTCACCTTTTTTCACAGTCACCTTGAAAATGAAATGCAGGAGTTAGATTTCACATTACTTTAACTTCCTCTTCCTGGGCCCATCACTTCCTCCAGGCCTCTTTGGACAGCCTGCACAAGCCGTACTACTGCAGCTTCAGCCTTTTCAGCCCTGAACACTTAATTATTTTAGCTCCATTTCCTGTTTTTACCATATAACAGACCTAAACACCACACAGTGTACTGTACCAGCACTGTCAGACCAGCGTACAACTTTTCCGTGAACCTTCTCTAGCACACTAGGCAGTGATTAAAAGGTTGGAAAACAGACAAGAGAATTGAGGAGTCCGACCTCAGGTAGATAAGCATTGTATCATGGTGGCAGAGCAAGCCACAGCCTCTGGTGGTGTGCCATGACTGTGCTTAACAGAAGGGAGCTTAAAGCAGGGAACGGTCTCCCACAGCACAGAAAATTAATCTATGTTGGAAAAGCAGAATCTGGTAGTTGGATGCTAGCACTAATTTACATTAAAATAAGGTGTGCATTTTAACTGTAGAATCTATATGCATGAAGACTGTGGTTTACACTTAAAATCCCTGTGTGTTTTGCTGAAAGAGGTGCTGGGGCTCAAGAGCAGCTATTCTGGGGTGCCCTGTGCTATATGAGGGACAGAGAGTTCGGCAGGGCAGATGGCCTGCAAGGGTCCCTTCCAGCCCAAGTTATGCTTATGACTGCTGTGGTCTGATGTGCCCATGGCTATGAGCCAGCAGTACCCACATGCCAAGCTCTGGGTGATACCGTGTCCTCCTTGTGCAGATGTGGAAAGCAGTCGTGGGACATGACGTGTCCGTGAAGGTTGAGGCTCAGGGAGACGACTGGGACACTGACCCTGATTTCGTGGTGAGTGTCTGGTGTGGTAATCCGTAATATTGGTGGTGGTGCTGTAAAGGGTTCACTGGCCCTAGGCATATGCTGGTCAACTCAACCGGGACTTGGGGTGAGGCATGGCATGCAGCACCGCTGGCTGTGCAGGATCAGCCAAGTCTCACCAACCCCTCACAGGTACTGCCAGGTCATCTGTCTAAGCCATTTCTGACCCATATCTATGTCTCCAGAACTTCCTACATCAGTGTACCCCACATCTGACTACAAGTAGTAGCACTTAAGGAGTATAGAATATTCAGTTTCTTTTAAACCTGCTCCCTGGTAACTTCACTGAGTCCTCCCCACAACTTACGTTACAAGAACTAGCAAAGACTTGCATTTTCTCTTTCCCACACTGTTTGGAATTTACAGGATTCCAGCATTGCCCTCATTTTTTCCAGACAGAAGAATCCCACTCTATTTATGGTCACCCTGTGCAGATGCACCTCCATGCCTCTGAATAGTCTTGTTTTCTATGCAGTCCAGTTCTCTAGGGGAGGTGTGGGAACCCCATGCATTCACACAGTGTCATGATTTTCATTTTCTATTTGATTCTCTATTCCTTTCCTAGTAAGTCACTCACACTTCGGCTAATTCTGTATTTGCTACTCTTCCACATAATCGCACATAATTCTGTATTTCGTACTTCTTCCTGAATGGTAAATATTTTGGAACCATTGTTGTGCAGATATAATTCAGTGTATTTTTTTTTTTTCCCATATGCCTTCCTTTTGTACTTATTAACACTAACCTTCATTTATAATTTTATCACCCACTGCTTTGTCTCCTGTATTTGGTTAACCTAGACAGTCCTTTACTATCTCAAGACTTTGACATGTCATTCTTCATACCCTTTTTCTAAACTTCTTAGGAGCACATAGCACAGCAAAAGTCCTGCTCCTTCTGGTGCCAAGGAGCAGCAGCCATGCTTTACAGCCACAGGTCTCTCTGAGCTCTGCTGAGATTCTGGTTTCCTTTGCAAGATACATTTCTTGCTGGACAGCCTCTTCCGTTACACAGGAGTCCTATGTTTTTGAGGTTCACTCTTGCCTAGTTATTTCCAGTACGAAATTCTAGTTTGGGACAGAAAAGCAAGTCCCCTCCTCAAAGTTCCAAATTATTAATGCTTAAAGAAAATCCTAGGCTGTCAAAATTATTTTTTTGTTTTTACTTCATTTCTTCTCTTTGTGGAACCATTTAAAATAACCCTCAACAGAATAAGGCTTTGTATTAATTTTTTAAATTCTGTTTTGTATGTACATATTTTTAGCTTTACCTTCTAGTAGGTAAGTGTTTATCGATCCTTCAATTTATCAAATACACGTTCAGACCTTCCAAAAAGAAGACAAAACAAGTGCTGTTGGAACAAAGCTGAGGCAGAGCAGCGGACCTTGAGCGAAGCGCTCACTTCAGCACTCTTCCAGTCTTTTCCCAAACGACGGGTTTCCGCAGCATTTCTGTTCACTAGCTGCTCCCTGAGGAGGAGGGACGGGGCTCCCCGCAGCCCCGCGCCCTGTCCCCGCGGGCCCGCCGGCCCCGGGC